TTATGTTATTTCCCAGAACTTATGACTTGCTTGTTTTGGAAATTTGTGGAACCCGGCTTGTTGGGTATTATGGATTGATTATATATATTCATGTTGGGAATTATGTCTCGTGGTATGATTCGGTTAATGAAAACCGTTTGTGAAAACCGGGTAATGAAACCCCGTGAGCCCAGATAAGACTTGGGTTATGAAAAATATTGTTTAACACCCATTGAGTTTTCGAAAATGATTTTGAAAATTTTACACTGTTTTTGGAAAGTCCGGAATTTCTTTAAAATCAAAGTGGGGTGTTACAGGTACCGTCCGACCCACTACAATGAATAGAAGAATTAAAATATATGATCAATTTAAAAAAAAATAAGTGTAATGAAAGTATATTAACTAAAATTCAGTAAACGACTTACATAATTGATGTTGGCGTGCGCAGGGACCGTGTTGGCATCCGACTGAGTATCAGGCAGGAGTTTAGGATGTAAAACCCGAGCATACCATCCCTCATAGTCCTGATGGGCCTGCCCTCGATCATCTATGGGGGTCTTCGTAAAATCAGACAAGTGCAGAGAATAAGGGACCAAGAACTGCTGCCACATATCCTCGGCAGCAATATTAGCATTCTCGACCTTGTACGACCTAGACTCCCAAGCACGTACCACATCTGTCGGACGGTAAATGCCAGGAGGGACAATCTGGACGTAGCCCAACTGACGCAAACACCGCAGAGGCATGTACGGCTCCACAATATCCCGGTACCTAAGGTATCCGAAATAAAAATTCCTAGACTCTACCTCATGTGGCTTGCGGTCGTATGGCAGCCAGTTCACCTGTTCACAATTGCGTAGAAACATTTATTGTAACAATTGGATTAGAGTAAATTATAATTTTAGTCCTGTATGTTTCACTACTTTAACTTATTCGTCCTCTTCAAATTGTGTTTTTTATTTTCGTCCCGTATGTTTGAAAAAAAGTTACACATTTGTCCTTTTCATACATAAGGGACGAAATTGGAACACTTTTTGGCAAAACATAAAGGACCTTTTTTCTGCAAAAAAGACTTTTCTGTAACCTTTTTTCAAACATACGGGACGAAAATCAAAAACACATTTCGAAGAGGACGAAAAAGTTAAAATAGTGAAACATACAGGACTAAAATTATAATTTACTCATTCGATTATTCCAACTAAACTTTCAACTAAATGTAAATAAAATAACTTACGTAATTGGGCGGCGGTGCACCTGTCAAGCTTCCTACAAAAATCGTCGAGGCGTGCGTCTGAATTATCCGGGACAAGGGTGCTCCACCCGGCTGATCGGGCTTCACAATCATGCTCCATGGTCATACGCGCATGGTCGGGTCGGAAGGTGAGGAAATACTCATATATCCAAAACTGCAGGAGAGTCAAGCAGGCCGAATGTCCCGAACAATCCCCCCTGCTGGCAAAACCCAATTGTCTGTGTAGGTACGCCAGTGCAGCGGAGCCCCATGAGTAAGTCCGAACTCTCCGCACGTCATCCACCAGCTCGTTCAGGATTTTAGGGGCGACCCTGTTACCACTCTTGTCTGTAAACAAGGTAGTACCGAGCATAACGTACATCCAGCCAACTGCCACATCCTGATCTGACTGATTTGCGCCGTTCGTCCACAATGCCTCAGAAAAAGGCGGTTTGGCTCACCGAACCGTGAGCCTAGAATGTGGCCCTCAGAACAGACTGGTCCACCCCTAGGAGCTCCATGTAGTGCGCCTAGCATGTGAGGTTGTCTGGGTCCGCGGTGACTACCGCTCCTTCCACAAGAATCTCTAATATGGCCCTCACGTCGTGCAGCAATTTCACCAAAAGGCAGGTGAAACGAGTTCGTATCTGGCTGCCAGCGCTCCACAAATGCACGGAGAAGTGGAGTGTCAACGTGAGTATGCATATTGAAGGCCAAATGTGATATCCCGGTCTCATGGATAAGGTCGCACGGAGCCAAACGCATCTGTTGTAACCACTCCTTGAAAAGGTTGTGCGCTGCCAGCCTATTTTGGCATTTCAACATGCCTCTTCAGTATCCATCCCACATTTTCGAGGCTACGTGCCCTAGAAAGCTAGGGATAACACTCCCGTCAACGGGGCCACCGGACACTAAGGCTTTAACGATCCATTCTCCGCCCTTAGTGCGTTTGCTACTCGCACCTGTATTATAATAAAACAATCATTATATATACGACATATTGTGATTGACTGTATCAATGATGTGCTATTATCATGGTGTCAATGTTTAATTTTATTTTTTAGAAGTCCATAATAGATACGACTGACAATGTTTTATTTTATTTTTTATACTTAAAATTTAAATATATATTTAAGTTACAAAATAGAAAGAGTATAAACAAGCATATTTTCATTTTTAATCACATTTTAAGTTTTTTATTTTTCATTTAATAAATAAAAACTAAAAATATTGTACATTAATGTGCTTATCTCTTTTCTAGTAATTGAAATGAATAATGCTATTTGACCAACTTGGGGGACAACTTGGATTACAACCCAAGTGTAAATGTATTATCAATAAATTATTAAATAATACATTTACAATGATATTGTAACCCAAGTTGTAACTCAAGTTGACTTTATAGCATTACTCAATTGAAATAGACATAAGTCAATAGATAGTCCAATTTAGAAAATAATTATTTTTTTATCACTTCAATATTGACTATAAGGCCCAATATTAACCAAATAATTTTAGCAAGTGAATATATCTCACATTTCAAACACAAGTACAAAAAACTGTGCTATTTATATCCATTCACATTCAACTAATTTTAAATTCAAAATCTTGAACGTTGAACCAGTTTAACCGGTTCCGGTTCACCGGTTCAACATATTTTTGACTGGTTCGAACGATTATGGACCGGTTCAATCGCTCAGCGGTTTGAGGTTCAAGCCGGACCGGAATGACGGTCGGTTCCCGGTCCAACCGGTTGAAACAGACGGTCCGGTCCGCTCATGTTTTCAAAACAATGATAAATACATAAATCATTTACCTGAGGATGAGCTAGCGCCCGTGTAACGGCCCCCAGCCTGACGTGGAGGATCAGCTCACCTGAGTTGTTTACCTTGGCTGTGGTTATGTCCGTGACTGTGACTGTGGCTGTGGGCCAGGAGATACAAGTTCCTGTTCAGCTGCTACATCTGCTCATCATCCATCATCATCATCATCATCATCATCATCATCATCATCCAGCGGACTACTCATGACTGCCGACTCATAAGTGGAGCTCTGAGGCCGAACAATACGAAGCGTCCCCATACGTCCAGAACTGCCATGCACTAGTGAGACGGACTACTGACCGCTCTCTATCGGAGGAACGAATGTTTGGCACTGCCAACTTGGGCAGCCTCGGCAGCCTGTCTCTGGAAAACCTCCTTGCACCTCTGCTCCATCTCCCGCCGAATAGAAACATTCACACCACGACAAACTGTGTGTCGGGCTTCAGAACCCTCAATCTCGACCTAAATCCAAAAAAATTAAACTTATAATTAGTTATTATAAAAATTAAGTTGTACTAGCTATTAAGATTTTAGTGATATATATTAAAATTGTAACGCCCCGTTTTAATTTAAAGAGTTTACCGAATCTATTTATAAAAATCAGAGTAATTTTTTTCACAAAATATCAAATTAAAAACATTAAACTTTAACAGGCACTACTTAACTACTAACAACAAATAGTTAAAGGGGATAAACACAAGGAATCTACACATGCATAACTAACATTATAATAAACAAACCGATTTATTATAAGTTTCAAAACCCAACCCAGAGGTTCGACAAGATCTAATGATCCAATCATTATGAACAAAATAGTTTAAGCGGGAGCATCAATATCCAAAAATAACAATCCAACATAGGTAAATAAAGCGGAAGCAAAGACATGACAATCTAATGACCACCACTTGCTTGTCTCTCGCTGCTGCCGCCCACATTGCTCAACCAAAAGATAGGAAGAGGAAACAAGGGGACAAAACAAACAATGGGGGTGAGCAAAACCACTAAGCTCACCAATATCGCATAAGTCTATCTCGCATAAAGATCCAAATCCATAAATAGAGTATGCATAGAATCCAGGTCTAACTCCCTATATGGCCCTATCGCAAACCTCCTATGTACATACAACAACCT